AGAAGTGCTCTGGCTGAAACTCTTTCCACATTCCATGCACTTATATGGTTTCTCCCCTGTGTGGATCCTTCTATGAGAAGTAAGGTTACTGCTCCAACTGAAGCTTTTTCCACACACCATGCATTGATACGGTTTCTCCCCTGTGTGGATCCTTTTATGGGAAGTAAGTTGACCCCTCATACTAAAACGCTTTTCACAAACCATGCATTTATGTGGTTTCTCCCCTGTGTGGTTCCTTTTATGGGAAGTAAGAGAACGTCTCATTCTAAAGCTCTTTCCACACTCTGTGCATTTAAATGGTTTCTCCTCTGTGTGGATCCTTTTATGGGAGGTAAGTTGACCGTTCTGAGTAAAGCTCTTTCCACACTCCATGCATTTATATGGCTTCTCCCCTGTATGGATCCTTTTATGGGAAGTGAGACCACTACTCGTATCGAACCTTCTTCCGCATTCCATGCATGTATATGGTTTCTTTCCTGCATGGGTCTTTTTAGGCAAAATAAGATCATTGCTTGTATAGAAACCCTTTCTGGACTTTGTGTGTTTATATGGTTTTTCTATCTTGATGCTTTGATGTAAAGTGAGATTCAAATCATTATTTTTTCCATGTTCTCTGCATTCACGCTGCTTTTGTTTAAGGTGGGTTCTGCTATATTCATATTCATCTGATTTATTCCTGAACATTTTTTCATCCTCTAAACTGCTTCCTTTTTCTTTGTGATGTTGGGTATGGAAGGTGCAGTTTTTTCCATATTGAAAAATAGAGGATTTCTCCATCCTATTGTTCAACTGGTTTTCCTCGGGCACCTTTGGCTCCCCCTGATTGTTCAATATCCCTTCTCCAGTTTCAGTTCTTTGCAAAGATTTCACACCTGGTTCTTTATAATCCTCAGTGTCTTGCCTGTCAACTGTTGGAATGAAAAGAAAGCAAAAAAAATCATGAGATCTTTCAGGCACAAAGTGAAGGTGCCATGACATCATATCAGCCACATTTTTTATTTCAACAGTACTATACCAAACATTTTCCCTCTAGGCTGCATGGGGCTGGGAATACGTCTGCGGGCATTGTTTCCGTCATCTCTGATCCTTTTTGTGAGTTATCTCTAGAACGTTGGACTGGTTGGAGGCAACTGAGGTATGATGTCCCACAGGACTCCATTATTTTCCCCCAGCCATTCAGTGTGAGAAAGAAAACTATGGGGAGGAGCATTTAGAGTTCTGGAGTGGTTATCACCACATTTATTGCTTCTTAACATTCAGGTTCTAATGTGAGGGAAGACAAGCTGTAATACCTTTGAGATAAACAGTGGGAGAATCAGGATATTCTGTGCCTGACCCTTTTTTTCTCCTCCCACCTGCACCCAGAAATTGCTTAAATAAGCTATCTTTTCCTGAGCAGCTTTTTTTCTCCAGCTCATGCTTCTTTAACAAGTTAGCAAGCTCAGCTCTGTGACCTTAATTAGTTGATTACAACCCTCCTCCCGGTGCTGTTGCCTGAAACTGACCAGAACTTAATCAGTTTCATAACTGAGGGTTTTTTTGTCTCTTAAAGTACACTAGGCCAATAGTCAGAGCTAGCACATTCCTCTCAATGTGTATTCTCTACTGCGTGCCTGTTTGCTCACTTGTAATCCCTTCCTTCCCAATAAATGTAAATAGAGATATTAATTTCGTTCTTGCTAATTATACCAGGACGAGGGTGAACATTCTAAAGGGTGGGAGAATGGGGAAAAAGGCCTATAAATTTGCCCTGCAAACAAGGCTTCCTCCTGAGTTCAATTCCAGAGGCTGTCCTCAATGTTTGGGCTTACCCAACCATTTGGGGATGGATTTATAATTTCTTAATAAAGTTTCTCTCTGGGGTTGGTTGCAGTCCTGGAATGTCTCTTGGCATTCTCATTCTTTGATATCCATACTGCAAATCCTAAATTAAGCATTGACGCACAAATAAGCAGCAACACAGGACTTTCAAAGCTATCATTAGAGACAAAAACACAGCAGTGCAAAATGAGCTTCTAAGGCAACCTGCAAGCCCCGATGAGAAGGACTGGAAACTATCTGGGAAGGTACTTGTTCCTCTTCCTGGAGACAGCATGAAAATGTTAGCCCTTCCTACTGGAACAAGTGGGAGAAGCAATTATTATTGTTAATATTATTATTATTATTTCAATTTATATAGCCACCCATCTCACATATGCGACTCTAGGCATAATGTTCTCTGCTGAAAAAGTACAGACCTGAACCTCCTCTGAGAAATTCATAAGCTGGTTATTTCTGACCAGAAAATAACTTCCCCACTTATTGGAACCTAGAGCAAAAGGGATCCCTTACCCATAGAGTCCACATTCTTAGCATTTTCCAGCATGACCTCTCTGTACAGGGTTTTTTGGTCAAAATCCAGCAGAGCCCACTCCTCCTCAGAGAAAAGCAGAGTTACATCTTCGAAGGACACAGGAACCTGAAGTACAAAAGCATTCTTTGTTAATGTACAGTTCCAGAAAGTATTTACAAATTCTCTATCCTAACGACCAATTTTGCTGACTCTGTAGGACTTTCAATCCCATTTAGTGAGTACAACCCTAATATCCTCCTTAGTCAACTCCTGAGACAAGGTTAGGGTGCAACTCAGACTCCAATACTTCCTGCAAGGTTCCTTCATCGAGCAAGTATTGGGATACTCCTATATGACATTTTAACATTGGGAGACTGGTTATGTTCTGAAGAACTGGTTAGATGGGAGCTAATCAACTAGCTCTGGAAATGGACCATTATGGAAACAGTTTCATGCTCCTTGAATAAATCATGTTTCACTTTGGGAGGCAGGGATCTTCCCCCTACCTGAGCTGGAAGTACAACCGCTGTTTCTGCTCTACCACAAAGAGGGGATGTTTCCACCGGCATGATCACTGTTGTTCCATTTTCTGAGAGTGAGATAAAAGCGGAGGAAATGCTTGTTTTAAAAACAGCTGGAAGAAAACTACGCACAAAGGCCAGTCTTGCACGCAGATCTAAGGTACTCCTGTAAAAGAAACTCATGAATAAGAAGAGTTCAGGCAGTGCATACTCCTGAGGACTCCAATACATGAAAAGGAATGCTCTTTTACCTGATGGTGGGATCTGAGATGGGTCCTCCTGGGAGATCCCCCCCAAGACGGGTTTCTGAGGGGCATATGACACAT